CACAGAGTCAGAGTAGCTTCACTGGAGGTGGAGGTTGGGGCTCTGTTGACAGGATGCCTGGGAAGCAATAAGATAGAGTTTCACTGGCAATCTGAGAACAGAGTATAGGCTCAGGCCTCTGAGAACTCAGAGCTGGGGGCATCTAGATCTAAGGCAGCTCTAGAAACCTTAATAGCCAAAGCTTGGCTCTTCATTATGGTGTTCCAGCATGAAAATGATCCAGTATCTTCAGGTGCTTGCTCTGGTATTCTCTCTTTAACAGGCCAACTCACCCTCTATTTTTTGTCATTTTGTCTACGTTATAGTTTCTGCTTACTACTGACTTAATTTATGCATAATTCTGGTTCACTTAATATCCCTTCAAGGCAGGGACACTGTGTCTCTCCCCGCCTCATGACCACTTGCTTCTCTTCTCATTGCTTACTGCTTTATTTTTGTAGTATTCTCCAGTTCAGGTCTTTGAGAGAGACTCTCACTGGCTACACTTGTCTTTTGTTTAAATCCACTTCATAAATGTTTGCCTAATCTTTGGATAGAATGCTTTTCCATCAAGTTTTCACTTCTGATCCCTTTCAGCTCTGGCTTGGGGAAGGGAGCATTGCTTAGTATGAAATTTGACCAGAAACAGTCCTGTGTCCTTTATATGGGGCTATCTCTGATCTTCACCACAACTCTATATGGTGGGTAGTTTGTATATTCCAACTCTCACATTTTTATCTCCATCTCAGCCATTTCCATTGAGCTCCACACCAGCGTTTCAATGACTTAATGTGCTACCCCATTTGGAATATTTCAGTTCAACACATGTATAACTGAAGTCATGTTCTTCATCCTTAACTTGCTCTTCCATTGCTTCTTTTGCTCTAAAAAGCATCATAAACCATTCAGTTCTTTAGTAAGCATCTGGATCCCTTTTCCTTTGTTTTAAGCCTTAGCATTATGTGTGTATTGAGAACTCTGAGTGAGTTCCTTTTAATAAAGTAGTGTATGAGCCTTGAAACATCTATGTATTGCATTTACTTGGGCCTTTTTTAAACTTTTGAGTTCTGTAGAGTGAGCTCATTTGCTTTGAACTTCAGTAAGTGCTAGTATTTTCTGAAATATAATAAAATTGGAATGTACTGATGTTAACTATGTTTATAATTTTAGGCGGCAAAGGAACAGACTCAAGATTTAATAGTAAAAACTACTAAGCTTCAATCTGAAAGGTACGTTTTTCTTCATAAGTCATCTCTTCAATAATTTGGAGATTAAGTAGAAAGAAAATTGTAGATAACTTCAAAGTTAAAACAAAATAATAAAAAACA